TTTCTACTCGTGCTTCAGTGTGCGTGTATGTGTGTGTGGGCAACAAATGAAAAGCCAACAACAACAACAAGCTCCTCGTTCATAAATACTTCACACACATACACCCACCCAGCTAACAACATAGAATGATACCACCCCAACAATTTACCCTCCCCCAGCCCAAGCAGAAACTATTTACTACTATGTGCTACATATGTACATTGTGTGGCGCCTTTTGTGGTCTGTCGGGCGGTGTGTTTTCACAGTTGTTGCTGTAGGAGTATGCTGCTGTTTGTTGCTGCTGGCAGCAAAGGCACACAAATTACAGTTGCACACACATTTGCCTGTGTTAAATTGTCTCACAACCAATACAAAGTGACCTTTTTCATTTATTTTTATGATTCCTCCCATCCTTGATACGTGTGTTACCTCACAGCAACAGCCACTCTTCCCTCTGTAGCCCATAAAAATCAGCTAGCAACTGTGGGCGCCCAAGCAGCAACTACGAAAAGCTCGTTGTAGGGCTACTTGGCTGTTTTTTTTTCTGCCTATAGAGAAATGCATCCCACTGTGTGCCTGACCGAATATTTTTTGTGGTTTATTCAATGCACGGTGCTGCGAATTCAATTTGGCGAAATCAAATTTGAAAAGCTTTAAAGCCAAGTTGCAAAAGAAAACTAAAGTGCAATTACATGAAAGGTATAAACTCTCCGAATTTTATAAAACTGGAAGCATATATTCAGTTTTAATTTTATAAATGCACCTAACGTATTTTTATACCCTGTGGGAACATTATATTTGTGCACTGTATTCTGATCAAACTTGAAACACGTTTTTTACAATCGATCGACAAAAGGTTGTCAGGCAAATTTAGCAACTAGGAACCTTACTTTAGACCATAAAGTTGAACTGCTTTTTCCGATAGCCTATATAGAAACAATATGCCTTAAAGGGTATTATATCTTCATTGTGCTGAATAGATAGTGGATCCTTCATGTTGTTTTCTGATTGTTTATCACCTTTTTAAGCTAGTTTGGTGTTTGAAGGGCTTACTTTTTTCTATTTTCTACTCTCCTAATTCCTAGTTTCTACTCTCCTACCTCATGTGTGTGTAATGGCCTGCAAAAATAGAAGGATTTTGGATAGTTCAACCCAATTATCTGCACCGACGGATCCATTATTGGCATTGTGGGGGAACAGTTTTCATTTACATTGCGTTGGAGCAATCGCAATCAAAGTCCATTTCAGAACGCACACATTTTCAAACTTTTGCTTTATTGTGATTGTGGTCCATCCTGGCCAGATTCGGCAAACTATTTCAGTTATGTGAAACTGCAAATCATTTTGTATTTTGTTTGTTTTACTTTGTTGTGCACTTAGTTTTGGATAAGGGCTTTGGTATACCTGACATATATATACCCTGTACTTTAAATTAAAAAGAGTTGTCGCTGACGAAGAGCAATATAATTTTCTTTTCCTATTAAAGACAGCGTTTCAGAATTTTTAATTTTGTCTTAAAATAAAGCTAAATACTGAGACTAATAGACTCCACAATATGATATAGAACATTTGCGGCATTCAGTTGTTTTTGTAATAAATTATCAGCTTACAGATAAATACGATGCGTTTCTGCTAGAACTTTATTTACCTGGCTTGTAGCGGCCAGGGTCGAGTGTGTTAAAAATAATTTATTTCCCGCACATGCACAAGTACGTGATTCAGGAATTTCAAGAGTAATAGAATGTGAATTATTTTAATTTTTCCATTTGGTTTTCAAGTTTGAACGGAGTCGGATGATGTGAATTGTAAACTGAAATAAATAATTGTTTATTTGTAGTATAGAACGTGCTGCAAAAATAGGAAATAATTGCTTTTTGATGATGCTAATGGAGTGAAGTATCAGAAAATCCAATTCGATTATCGTACCGAACTTTTTATTTGGGTTATATATAGAGAAATTCATTAAGAAATGTAAATTCTTAACTATATAAAAATCAATAGTTCGTATACAAAGAGCTTTAACATTTATAATGGCAATAGTTTGCAAAATTGAAATTCCTTGATTTTTTAGTGTCGTCTTTCACCTCTCTCGGTTGGTAGTTGGATGACAGCCATTTATAAATGCATTGCGTTCGCTTGGGTCTCACCTGGGCTTTTGTTGCTGTAGTCAAATGAGTTTTGCATAAGCAAACACACGGACATCTCTTCTAACTGACATCGGGTTCCGCAACAGCAAAGATGTGAGGCAAGGAATTGCCTCGACTTCAAGAGCAGCAAGAAATCAGTACAATGTTTGGCCTGCAATGGCATAATCAAGTGCAACAAAAAGTTGAGAAAGTAAAGTGTTCAGGCATTTGCTATCATGTTGGTCTTTGAGTATTCAAGACTTGCTAAAGGGCCAACTTCGTACTGGTCCTGGGACTGGGATCCATGCCGGCTGTTTCCCTTTCGCAAATAAAAACGCGCTGTGCCTAAGGATCCACGTTCTTATTCAAGCAATTCTGCGGCTTACCGTTTATGATTTTCTTTTTTTTTTCATTTCGTGCTGGCTAACACGACGCATGAGTAATACCAATGGTGTGTCCAAAACGAACATAGAGTGCGGGTTGCAGCTGCTTGCCTGCCACTCTGCCTGACTGCAGCGAATTTCCATTAATGACTTGGCAGACTCCCTCAGTTTTGGCTCTTTGTTTTCCCTGTTCCATTGTTGTTGGTAGCAAGCAAAGATGAGCATGGAAAGTATCAAACAATAACAGCAAAAACGGCAGCAGCAGCAACAAAGTTCGCTTGCACTTCGCAGTACTGGCCATATCGCCCCCTACACTTGGGGCTAGGGACACGACTGCACAGTCCGTTGCCTTTCGTTTTGGCCAGAACTAAGTTTATTTCACATTTGTATTCATTTGTTTTGAGTTTTATTTAGCCAGCAAAACAATAACAAAAATAAATATTCTCGAATATTTCTGTGTGTTTAATTTTTACGAATGCTCAACAAGCAAACTATGGTTGCTGCACAGCTTCTGCTATTTCATGTAGAATCTATTCCATTTAAGTTACTGCCTTACATTTGGACGGTTGCTTATTTTGTTATTCGGAAATTAAATCACAAAATGTTTTACACGCACCTTCAAAAGATTTAACTTTAACAATATTTTTGACCAAACAATGATTTTTGCGCTATACAACGTTAATCTCAATGACCATGCATGTGTTTCTACCCAAAATATTGTAATCCTGATTAGAAGAATTCGTTTAGGCATCTACTTCTGAGGGTTGATTTTTCGTTCGTCTGTCGATAAGTCTTGATAATAGCAAAATATAATCAACTAAAGTTTTTTAATTTACCAAGTTTTTTACGTTCTATACAATCGCACAGTTGGAACCAACTCGTTTCTAATCGCCTCAGGCGATCACATAATCATTTCAGGCATCCATTTTACCTTTAAAAAAAAGACGTCTCCGAAAGTGCCGCTAATTATATCCTCCACTGGAATGAATCAACAAGCAGAAGGGACCACTCGCCACGCGTCCGCAAGCAAACTGACAAGTTGGATAAGTTACCGTGGCCAAAAAATGAGTGGGTTGTAACTTCAACTTGTCGTATTTACCAAAAAGGGAAGACAGGGTCTATGTAGCGGGGAAAGTGTAAGCCAACGAAGTGGGTTGAGTGGTGAGTTTTTGATGCTGGAGTCGCTGCTGAAGCGACAACATCCGATTGCTCCTGGCGCTGTCCACTCCGTGAAACAGGCGACACAACCAGAAATGCAATGGGAAGAGTCCGGAACGAAGCGAAAGCACAGGAAAATGCTCGCTTTGAGCTGGTTCTGCTTTTTTGCGACATTTTTGCAGAAGGTTTTTGCATTCGTGCAACTTTTTGTGGCTTTCGTGGTTGTTGGCACGCGGCATCGCGCAAAAGAGATGTACTGTGGGCGGGCGAGGCGTGTCAGTTGGCCGCCTTAAAGTTTGCGTGAACGTTTATTTTGTTTGCGCTTGCAAAAAGTGTGAAAATTTGAAGCTATTGCGCGTTCTAATTTCTGTATTCTAGTGCTGCCCCACCAGCAACTGCTGAGGTCGGTATAGCGCGGCACAAGAGTACAAGAGCTGGCAGCAGCTGGATAGCCAATGTGCGTGCATGCCAGTCAAATGGGAAGAAGAGAAATGATGATGCGAGGAGTGGAGTTGAGCTCGACGTGCCAAAAAGTATGCAAATTATTAGCAAAGTTGGAAACATTTTTCACGAGGCACACACTTTTCGCTTTTTGACAATTTTAATTTTTACTCTCTATAAATTTGAAGTCTAGCTGTTTTCTTTGCATGCTGGTGGAGCGTAACCCGGTGTTTAAGGCCACTTGGTTGGGCAGACTGAAGGAGCGTACAAGGAAAACTAGGTTTATTTATGTTCAGAGATTTTAAAGCAATTTCAAAGCAAGGCAAGGACTAAAAGGTCAGTGCTGGCAGCATCCCAGGGTCCCTTTAACCTCACACATTGCGACAATTTAACGCCCTGCACTTGACATTTGGTATTTGCTCAGATCCAGGTCCTTGTTGGCCAAGCGACCAGCCTGCCCGATTTCTGAGTGCACCCACATCAAGAGTTTTCCCTGATGTGTTTGTGTGTGTGTGTATTTGTGCATTCGCACTGTGTGTCCTTTGTTTTGCACAATTTGTCGTGCTTGTCCTGGTATGCGTGCCCATCGCTGGCCTCGTCTGACTCCTCGATTCCGGTCTGATTCCGGCATTTCGCCTGTCCCTTTGCGGAAATTATTATTTTGTTTAATGATTTGTGTTCATTCTCGTAATTGAGGCTAGGCAGAGCAGAAAGAACGTATTTTTTGCTCTTGACCCACAATGAAAATATGGAAAACTATCGAAACAAAAAGTTGTTGGCGCTTTTCATCGTACCGAAGTCTGCTCAGCGAAGGGTAAACAGCAGCAGCAGCAGATGAAGAAGAAATAATAGCAAACAACAAAAATATAAGAACAATGAAAAATCCTTTTTATAAATTTTGCAGCTGACAGTAGAGGAGTAGAAAGTTCATTGTCAATTGATTCTTATGGTTATACGGATCGATGCAAGGACGAGATAAATTAAATTTCTCTTAAACCCTGGCAAGTATTTTGTGAATCCTTCGCCTGACTTAATATTGAGAAAGAACGTATTTTTATATATATGCTATACAGTTCATTCCAAATATTGATTCGTTAGTAAAGTAAGTCAATACAATGCTTACGAGTAAGGGAGATAATTGGAATGTCACAAACGGTTGCCAAACTTTTTGCCAATTACATGAAATTTATTCAGCAAAATGTTTGCGCGTTGAACTAAGCACATAAACATAGTAATATTTCAAAGTTGGTCCATTAATAATTGATTATAGATCCTTGGCAACATTAAACGAATGAAACACACCAAATCCAGCTGTCAGTTTAATAACAATATTTTGTTGTTCGTACATACTATGTGTAATTAATTGGCGGTTATCAGTTTGTTGCCAGCCTGCAAAGTGCCGCAGTCATTGGCCACGAATGCATTAACTGAATACCCACTACGTCCCATTATTCAATTAAAATGAATTGCATTCTTTAACAGTCGATTCGGGCATTAAATTGATTCATTGACGAACATCCAACCAGTTTTAGCAGCAATGGAATTCAATTTAATATTAATACGCCTTTTGCAGTAGGCATTGCTGTTTTTATTTTATTTTTGCAGGGTATGCGTTGAAATACATTTATCAGATTCATATTAAAGGCGAAAATTTAATAATATATCAGACAATACTTTGTAAAGAAAAATCAATAACAGTAACACTGCGGAAATTAAATGCGACAATCAATTAAAAATTGCAAATGAGCATTCACGCCCCTCCAGTCAAGTGTAAAATATGTAACTATTTGAACATTTTTTAAATTACATCGTAAATTAACATGTTTCAGCAGCAGACCCTTATACGTAACGACATATATCTCTAGAGCTGGCCTTTTTGGCGAATTGGGGATCTATAATTCCAGTCGAAGTTGTGGAAAACTGGTGAAAAGCGAAGGCTGCAAATTATTTTCAATAATACTTGTGAAAATTCATTTAAGGCTCATTTTATATTTTACCCCATTTGGTTAAAAGACGCTTGCCCAAGTTTCATTTTAATAGCATTAGGTTATGGCGAGTGCCCGACTAGGGTTGACCCTGAATCCGGAGACGGAATCTGAGAGATTCCGTTTTGAAATAATTTCCATATATTCAATATAGCAAAGCACAGGGCTCTGGCGATAAATGAGGAAATGTAAATTTTCAAACAAAAGTCTGCAGCTCATATACCTTATAAGTTTCCTTTTCTCTGTTGAATAGATTTGCACTTAATTGCATTGCAATTGCTTACCCATTTCAACGTGAGCAGACAAAAAGCATTTTTTTCTTTAATTTTTGATATTTAGAAACTCTATTTTGATTATAAATTCCACACACTCATAAACTTATATGAATACCAAAACAAACTGCATTCCATTTGTACTGGTCTTAAGCCTGAAATTTGTTAATTGGAATTCGAATTTAAAATCGTACCATGGAATGTGTTTAAATGAACAGGATTTTCAGTAAAACTCAGAAGCAACAATTCGGATTGAGCTGGGGGCTTGAGTGAACACGCCTTGCAATATGCGCCATCTACATAAATATCGTAGTGCAGGCACTCGAGGTTGAGGCCCATGTTTATCCGCTTAGGTAAACACAAGCACAGCGAACGCAGCTAGCTGTCTGGTAGGAAAGTCAAATGAAGCGGAAGAACTTCACGTGCCGCAATACAAATTGAAAATCAATGAAACCATGGAAAACTCCGGGCCAACAATGCACGATGGGCGGTTCAGCTGTATGTTTAACCAATTGAAATCGCTGTACCATAAATCGAAGCTTCACTGCCAAAGTGGCCGTGGGGGCCGTTGTGGCACCATCAGCGTGAATTCAATTGCATGGTCCGTTTTGACCATTTGTGGAAATTCTATGAAACACAACCAATGTTTTTAGGCATTCCAAAGAGATACAGATACCAAATCGAATAAAGTTTATATGAGAGTTTTCTATGAAATACAAAATATATAATGTCCGTGATGAAAGCGTATAGACTAAGGGAGCGATGGACCAGAATATGTATACCTTGCGTATCCTACCTGCAGAACTTTTAATTGCTTGAACCTGATGCCGAACAGCTTGCTGTTACATTTAATTATGGGATTTGGAATTGGTTAGCCTTCGCGAATTCATTTTTAGTCATAAACAACATTGTTTTAACACTCTTATAAGCCGTCTTGACGTATACTTCTTGGCGTATACGTAATATTAAAAAACAAATACATGTAATAGTTTATTTACATTTTTGGGAAGCTGAGGACTTTTTAGCTGTGCCACATCAGTCAGAAAATCATTTGGTAATGGCTTCACCACTGAAAGCTGATTAATAATCTCCCCAGCTGGAGCTCGCGAGGCTTATTCTTTATTCACTTAACACCTTCCAAACAAGAATAAATATATATATGTATATATTTAGTAATGTAAGTGTGCATATATGCAATTCAGAGCTCAGGTGAACGTTGCAGTTGGACTAAATGGCGACTCCCTCTCGTTTTATTTAATTTTGTTGGAGCAGTGCATCAGCTGCCTTTGGATGTGCACAGTGACCATCTGACACGTGACTCTCCGTTTAATAGTTGCACGTGCAACACAAAATAATAAACTGGGATAAGGGGATGTACACTTTGGCTTAGGGTCATCAAAAACACATGCAAATGTCTAATTCTATTCCATTCAAATAAATGGGTAAAGGGTATAATCTGGTATAATCTCTACCACGGTACGCTCTAATACTTTAAAACATTAATTTGGGATATTACTTGGCTTCGCCCGAATCATTTTATTAAATAAAAGGCACCGGATACTGTGGCCTTGCGATAAGGAATAATCTATATTGGGATTCGACTCAGGCCTCTCGTTGCTCATCTACCGAGAACTGCCTAAGCTATAAATATACTATTTAAGCAGTCAGGGACGCAGCACAGATTTTGAATGTATTGAAAATGTATTCTATCGCTGCCAAACTTTTGGTGGAGTCGGGAGAATAAATTATGTTGATAAATGTAAATTGAACTAATTGCTCACAATGGGACCTTGATTTATGTATGCACATTTTCTTAGCACCGATTATAAATTTGGGATCTGATTTGTTTTGCTTAATGAAGTTATTGTTGCTTATAACTAATTTAAATGGGACATTGCCCCTTAAAAGTTGCAATATTTAAGGTTGACCTAACTCAGAACATTTCACTTTTTAGCTATTTGGAATTATCTGCACATTGTGTGCATGGCTGTGAAAATAAAGTGAGCAAATTGATATGAAAATGCTAGTGATTTGTTTTTCATGCCCGAACTAATGGCTAACGGCTTGGCTAAGGACCGGCCGAAAGGCATTATGCAAAGTCGTGCGAAGCTTGGAGGGTGCGTTTCAAAAACTCGTCCTTGACGTTGATTTGCTGAATTATTGATTTGTTTGATTAATCAAGGAAGTGTGCAAGGGAAGCTCCATCTGCAGCACAGTCTCAATGTTATTGCTATTCCTTGCTGTTTCGCTTTGGCTCCGTCCTTTCAATTTTATTAACACTTAGGCGAATACAACTTTAATGAAGTTTATTTTGTAGCAAGTGGCTGGATGCAGCTTGGCAATTATGTACACAATTGACTGTTAAACTGTTAAATGCAGTTTTATTTTCGAGAATTTAAAGTGCATGCGTCCTTTGGCTGTGCCAGCAGTTTCGACTGCGTAAATCGCGTGCTGACGCCCACACAAAAGTCGACATCTCCGGTGCGGGTTCGCACATAAACACAAATGAGAATGAGAATAAAAGCCAATTGAGGCGCATAACAGACGAAATGGAAGATTGCAAAAAATGCGATGAAGTATACGCAAGAAAAACAAGGGCAATTTGCTGCAAGGACAAAATAGGACATTCCGCAACAATAGCCATGTCCCGGCCACAAGAACCTTTCCTGAGTCCGAAAAACTTTCCAAACGCTTCAATGCATCGTATACATGATAAAAACCATCGCCCGCGGGTAGCCCATACTAAATATAAAAAAGTGAGCCCAGCATGTTTGTAGCTATTGATATTTTTGAGCCAAATTACAGCTGACGGCTAGGTTACAAGTTCATCATTGAGTAGATGCAAAAAAAACAGTTTGACTCAATTTTAAATGGAGGACTCGAAACTAAAGTGTGAGAAAGTGGTGATGTCATGGGTCAGAAAACGTACAAATATCATAAATGTCTAGCCCAATATTGAGCCTGAACTGAAGTATACCTAAAAGAACAAAACTTAAACAGGATAAGGTTGTTTATATTTAATAGTAAATCAAATTTGTATAAATGATAGATATATTTGCAAATTTGTTTTAATTGAACGATATATACTCATTAAGATAAACTTAATGCAGTAAATGCTTGTCATTATAATGCGCGAGTATATTATTTCAAAACTGTTTTTATTGCATGCTAATAAAATAAAAATGTAAGCGATTTCAAATCAAAAGCAATCAATTAGCTTAAATTAATAATAAATAAATAAATAAATAGAATTATTGAATTATGTGGGTCGATGAAAAATGATATATGGCTGTGGGACTTTGGAAAAAATGGTACAACAAATTAAACACAACACATTAAATGCAAATACACATTAGCCGGAGGCTGTGTTTATGCTGATGGACAGCAGCATTTACCTAATGCCCAGAAACATTAATCAAAATCATAAATGGGCGCCAACCCAAATGTTTCCCCTATTTCTACTTCCGGACATCCGGCCGTAAACGGGAGGGAAGGGCATTAAATGGAAACGTCGTTAATGGAAGTGCGGCAAGATGTTAAAAGCAGAGGCAACGCTCAATTTTTATTGCCTAAAATCGAATTGAATCGATTTCTTAATGTACTCTTGGGGAAATTCAGAAAATAACTAAAACTTCAACCTACATGAATTTTTTTTTTTGTTACGGCTATGGATACTACGACATCTCTTGTGACATTTGCCTTTCACATCCATGGATGATTAGGCATGCCCACACAGCTCCCATCCATATACATACATATATATAGGTCTTATTCTATAGGCTGTCCGTAGAGTTTGTAGCTAAGCGGGGGCGAAAGGTAAGTGGGACATTTTTGCTGACTGGTCACTTCCGGTCAAATGATTCTGAATAGAAAACTCACTCACACAAGCAAAATCCTTGACGGCCGTTCACTGGGACAGCATTGAGGTGTGTGGAGAGAGACACATAATTCAACACGTATGCAATCTGTGAGAATTTGCAAGCTTCGTTCAATGAGCATAAAATGAAGCAAATTAGCCACGGGCTTTGAATTTGCACGGTGTCAGCAGGCACACGCTACATATTATTCATAGCCAGACATAAATTTATGTGTGCCCCCAAATTGTCAACCCTCAACTGGTGAAAGTTGGCTTGGAGTTAAGATAGGTGCGCACAGACATTTAGCTAAAGATTAAATTTAAATATGGTAGTATTTTTAAAACAGTCATTATATTAATTATGACATTTCTAATATGTAAATACCAATGGGGGAATCATTATTCGAGAATTTATATCGGTTTCTTACTCTGCAACTATATCTCAGATTCATGAATAATCCAAGAGCCGCCAAAACTCATTTTAATTCCTGTGCCCCATAAATCTCACCATCTTCACAGTGTTTCTCTCATGCTGTGTACTGGCCGCTAAAACAAATGAACTCATTTGTTTCAATTTAATCTTATTACTCAAAGATTTATTGCTCTTCGCATGGCATGGCAGGCCTTTTATACGTATTTGCAAAACCCTTCTAAGGATGACCCAACCTTTGCGCCTGACAGGTCAGAGGGCAAATTTTAAAGAGGGCTTCGAGTGAAAGTACTCGAAGGTTGATTATGATTGATTGAGTGCGATTCGAATTGTCTGTCATTGTACGGATATTGATTTTAACGAATACTTAACGTGCACTCGAACATTTGGCAGTCAAATTTAATTGACAGCACAGCACGCGATTGACGGTCATCACGCATACGCCCCATTTGCCGGTAATCAAATAGCAGCAGAGCTTGCCCAGCAGTTATCGTAAAATGTACGGACAATCTACTTATATAAGAGATTAACTGCAAATTCACAAAAACACATACATACTCACACACACATGTATTCTCACACTCACTGCAGCCATAAATAAATTGGAGTTTTATGTTGACTTTGACTTTGATAGTTGCATAAAATTGTGAGCAAACATCCATACATAAAAAGATAATTAAATTATGGTAATAAAAATAATGTTTGTTGGCTCATAAAAAACTAGCAAAAGCCCTGATGTTGCGGCAAGCCGAAGTGCAATCCTTAGACAGTATAAATCGATTATAATGCATCATTTGGCCTAAGCACATATGCAACTTCTGTTTGTTAAAGTAACATGCCTTTTAAATATTTGTCTTTAATATCTGTTTTCTCATAGATAACTGAAAGCAATGTTGATTTATATAATTTGTAAATGACTATCTTGTTTTAAATAAAAGAATAAGTATGTAGATATGTACACTTTTCCATACCTACATATATGCACTGCCTGTCAATATATACCAAAGCTCAGGGTATATTTACAGTAGTCTACCACAACAGACCCAAATGGAATTTCAAATGATTTTTTGATTGGGTGGCTACTGCTCGCATTCTGATGAGTTGGCTTAGATGCAATTGGCATGCGTGCGTGTAGGCGTTATTGCGTCGTGTTGCACGTGTGACCAGATTGTGGCAACATCCAGATGCGTAAGTAACATTAATCTTCTTTCCTATCCATAGCGAATCGCTTCGTTGCGCTTCGCTTGTGCAACATGCGCAAAATGACAAATGTTGATGTTTGGGCTCTTGCTCAAGAGTTTTAATCAAGTACCCATGCTAGGCAATATTTACTGTCATAACTTTTTCATATTATTTTAAAATCTATTTTGTATAATGGACAATTTGGGAGTTTTATTTTAAGTTATTTTATCCTATTTCAGATTTTTAATACTTACT